CTGCAGTGTGCCCAATACCCTGCAGTGTGCCCAGTACCCCTGCAGTGTGCCCCTTAGGGATGAGCTAGCTAGTCCCCTCTCCGCCCGTCTCCTCTCCCCTTCCCCAGCTTGAATTTGATTGTGTTTTCTCTCTGGTGAGTGGTTGTTCATCTACTGACTTCATGTTAGTGTTAAGGACGTGGCATACTTGCTTTTCCATTCTTGTGATATTTTACTAAGGAGAATATTCTTCAACTCCATCCACGTTAATACAAAAGATGAAAAGTCTCCACGTTTTCATGACTGAATAGTATTCCATGGTGTACATATACCATGTTTATAAATCCATTTATATGTTGATAAGCACTCTGGTTGAGTCCATGTTTTGGCAATTGTGAATTGAGCTGTGATAAACATTCTGTAGCAAATGTCGTTATGGTAAAATGATTTATTTTCTTCTGTAGATAGGGAGTAAAGGGATTGCAGGATCAAATAGAAGGTCTGCTTTTAGCTCTTTGAGGATTCTTCATACTTGTTTCCCAAAAGGCTCTATTAGTCTGAAATCCTACCAGCAGTGTAAAAATGTTCCCTTCTCTCTATCACTATGCCAGCATCTGTAGTTCTGGGACTCAGTGATGTGGGCTATTCTCACTGGGATTAGGTGATATCTCAGGGTGGTTTTGATTTCATTTCTCTGATGATTCAGGACTATGAGCATTTTTTCCTGTGTTTGTTGATCTTTGTCTGTCTTCTTTGGAGAAGGTTCTGCTCATGCCTCTTGCCCAATGATAGATGGGATTGTTTACTCTTTTTGTTGATCAGTTTGAGTTTTCTGCAGATTCTGGTTATCAGCCCTTTGTCAGATTTGTAATGCAAATATCTTTCCCTATTTTGAAGGTTGCCTGTTTGCTTTAATTGTTGTGTCCTTGGCTGTGTTGAAGCTTTTTAGCTTATTAAAGTCTCATTCATTTACTATCGTTGTTGCTGTGAGTGCCAATGGAGTCTCCTTCATAAAGTCTTTCTCCAGGCCAATATCAAGACTTTTTCCCCATGACTTATCCAGAATTTTTATTGTTTCATGTCTTGGATTTAAATCTTTTACCCATTTTAAGTCATTTTTTGTAAGTGGTGAGAGGTGTGGGTTCAGTTTCAGTCTCCTACATGTGATTAACCAGTTCTCCCAGAACCATTTTAAAATACTAACCCAGCGACCATCAACTGGGTTGATTTCTTTGCTCAGAGCTGGTGTCTTGTGAGTGCTTTTAGACCTGACCTCCCAGACTTATTGGAGTCTCACTTAGGCCCCTTTGCTGTTTCAATTTGCCTTGATTTTCACCTACTACACAGTTAAAGTGTCCCTACCCTTTGAAACTCAGTTGGTGGCAAGATCTTCATAATTCAAAACATTTTATTACAATCTATGGTCTGGTTGAGTGGCAGACCTCAGGGTCCGATGAGGGGGACAGCTGGAGCTGGACTTGAGACAAAGGACTGTGGGAAATGCCCACCAGGAAACAAGAGGGTGTCCTCAGATTATGTTTAATACTGTCCTTGATTCATTTTGGGGAGAAGAGATTTGAGTTGAGAAGGTATTCTTAGAGCAACACTGGAGTCCATGACACCAGGGATTTCTGGGAAGTTTCTAGCTACGAAATGACTGAAGGTATCCAGAGGCCAAAGACCATGGTGGCTAATAGCTTTGTTAAAGCAAAGTAATTACTGGGACATAAATTTACTGTGCAAAACTTGATAGGGAGGACAACCACAAATAAAAAGGTATAATTTGTGGTCAAAAATGAAGACTTTACTTCAGAAATGATATAACAGATGGTCCAGAATTGCTGACTGTGTCCAAAATGACCCAATCCAGGTAAAACAACTAGTGAATACCAGATGGACCAAAGCTCACTCATCTCTCCATGACAAAGAACAGAGAGCCTAGAATTTGTGCGTTGATGAACAGTGATTTAATTGTCTGCACCACCCAATCTTTTTCTTTGTTACCTCTTTTCCTTTTCTTTTTTTTAAAACTAATAATGGAAGTTGAACTTTAAATAAAAGTCTGAAGGAGGAAGCTTACTCAGTCTGTAGTTGTCATGGAGGCACATTGGTGCCGAAAGGTTGGATAAAAAAGGAAGGAGGAAGGAGGAATTACTAACCATGAATGATGTCACCTAACATCTAAGTCAGGGACAGAGATGTGGGATTCGTTTATAACATCATTTCTCAAGTCTTTAGGTCACCGCAGTCATCTCTGCTGAATCACTGCTGGAATCCGTCAGTCCATGACTGTGTAGTGGTACTTCACAAATAACATAACATGGAGGTTTTCTTACAATTTTTTAAAGAATACTCACATATAAGGGACTCTTCAGTAATTCTTTCCTTAAGAAAAATGATTGGCAGAAACCAGAATACCCCATCAGAAGGTAAAGCATGGGGACAAGTGTGGACGGAGGCTGAGAGACAGCTCAGGTCCTTCTGCCAGTTGTCATTTTTTCTGCATCTGCGCTTTTGTTGGGATACGTGAAATTGCCACCAGACTATAGTGCTAAATCGAAACATACATTGGGATTTGAAAAAATAGCTTCAAAATAAGAAAAAAAATGGGAAAGGTTTTTTATTTCATCCCCCTGGTCTACTTGCACCTCACATTTTAACTGCTCAAAAAGAAGCTGAAAATACCAAACAAAAAACTGAAAACAAGAAATAAATTTATGTAGTCACTAAGCGTATCTGCACTGTCTACTCAAGTAAGATCGCTATTGTTCAGCTTCTTCAAGATGTTAACACTTTATATACCTCATCCTAAGACAAGTAATTGACTTCATGGAAATACAGTGTATTTGTACTTCACTTTCAGGATCATCAGAAAACAAAAGAAAAAAGAATTATAAAGATATCACTATTCCTGACTGGAAAGGTTAGACTCCTGTTTCAAGGCAAAGTACTGGTTTGAAATTTGCTGCTAGTTACAGAAAGAGTTACCATTAACTCACTTCTGGGTTCATAACCAATGTGATGATTAACTCATAAGCGGCTTGAATAAAGCAACTGCAAGCTTACAGTGGATGCCAGGCGTGTCTGCAGTGTTACCCCCCCACCCAGGTCACAGTGCATGGCTGGTGTATCACCAGTATTGCTCCCCAAGGTCAGAGTGCTGGTGTATCTGCAGTGTCACTCCCCAGGGGTATAGTGGATGCCTAGTCTATCTATAGTGTTACTCCCCAAGGGTACAGTGCAAGGCTGGTGTGTCTACAGTGTGACTCCCCAAAAAGGTAGTGGATGCCTGGTGTATCTGCAGTGTTACTCCAAAAGGTTATAGTGGATGCCTGGTGTGTCTGCAGTGTTACTCCCCAAGGGTACAATGAACACCGGGTGCATCTACAGTGTTAGTCCAAAAGGTTACAGTGGATGCCTGGTGTATCTGCAGTGTTTCTCCCCAAGAGTATAGTAGACCCCTAGTGTGTCTGCAGTGTTACTCCAAAAGGTTACAGTGGATGCCTGGTGTATCTGCAGTGTTACTCCCCAAGAGTATAGTAGACCCCTAGTGTGTCTGCAGTGTTACTCCGAAAGGTGACAGTGGATGCCTGGTGTATCTGCAGTGTTACTCCCCAAGGATACAGTGGATGCCTGGTGTATCTGCAGTGTTACTCCCCAAGGATACAGTGGATGCCTGGTGTATCTGCAGTGTTACTCCCCAAGGTTACAGTGGATGCTTTGGGTATCTGCAGTGTTACTCTCCAA